TCGATGTGAATGCAACTCCTTTATGCTTACCGTTTTACATTTTAGATTTTGATATGTTGTATTTTAAATTATATTTACATCCTTTAATTAGTGTTTTACGCTGTTATATGCAATAAAGAAAACATTTACTGTATGTCATTTAGGAGTACATTTCCAGCTTAAAGATTGTTCATGGGGATCTAGCTGCGCGAAATATTTTAATTGGCGAAGGTCTAGTGGCCAAGATAGGTGATTTTGGCTTGGGACAAGATGCGTACGAGAAGGGATACTTACGATTAAAAGACGGAGAAGTTCCAGTGAAATGGTACAGTCTGGAAACGCTCACAGAACAGTTTATGACTCCAATGAGTGACGTGTAAGTTTGGAGTGTTCTAATCAAAGTTGAAATGTTATATGATGTTAGACAAGTAATTTCTATTTGTTAGTTTCTGTTGCTGTTTCTCTCACATCTTCAGGTCATCGTCGATTTTGATATTATTATCTTTATCTTATCTTTATCTTTTCTTTAGTGGTTGTCTGCCGGAAGGAATCGGGGAAGGAATACAATTTAAAAAATTAATACAGTAAACAAATATTAATTTATACCATACACTTAATGATAACATCAATACCACAATAATGTTTACCATTTCTTAATTGGAAAATGCAAAATACATGACAGAATTACAGGTAGGCTAGATAGAAAACACCTGAATGGAAAACAAATTTGCGAGTTAGGATGACAGCTATCATTTCATTAGGCCTAGTAACAAATTCTGTAATAATCAATTTTTTTTTTCTTGTGGTTCGGTTTCAGGTGGTCTTTTGGGATTTTACTTTATGAAGTATTTACATTTGGAAAGTCACCATACCCCGGCATTATAGTAGGGACTTTACCTCAGCTCCTTCAGCGTGGCTATCGAATGCAGCGACCAGAGCAATGTCCTTCCACAGCGTAAGTAAAATTTCAAGTTCTAAAGCTGCGTGCTCTAGAACTTTTCTGTACGATTGCAGGGGATTACTTACATAAGCTTACAATTTTGAGTATGCACACAAATGATCGGTGGTTATGTTCCTAGTTGTAAGCGCATAGATCATTGACAAAATTGGACTTACATCATTTAATAGTAAAATCATACATCATGCCTTCATATGATTTAGTTCTGCTATTAAACTACAATGTTTTTATTCGTTGAAAGAAAATGGACTCTTCCATTTAGAAGAAAGGTAGACCAGGCTTCATTTTATTACATACCACATTGACAAAAAAATCTGTTTGGTGCATTATCAAATAAATTAATTTGTGCCGTTAAAAAGAATATTTTAATGAGTTGTAGACTGATCCATTAAACTCTGTGCCGCCTTGTGTGAAGCAGGCTTTCTTTCAACTCAAGGAATTCGAGTCCCAATGCACTAAATGTTAATATCTGTGTTTAGGTATAAAATAATGAGATCGTGCTGGCATGAACATCCAAGGAAGCGACCAACGTTTACCATGCTGTATCAACAACTAGACACCATCCTGGAGTTCGTTACCAATGATTCGGCTTTATACATCAAATTATCGGGAATTACTTGTTGCAAGTACCAAACACTGGTAAACAATGCTACCAAAGCTATCAGTACAAGCTACAGTATCAAAATGCGCTTGCTTGTCCACAATTAGGGCTGTTTACACTATGACGATAACTATCAACGATAAAAAGCTGAAAAGCTTCATAAGATTATGACGTCATTTGATTTGCGAAATATTTTTTGACACATACACGATAAATCGTTATCGAATCGTGCTAGTTTGAAAACTTCCCTTATTTTCTATATGAACAATTGCTTTTTATCTTTATCGTCATAGTGTAAACAGGCATTAAGACTGAACAGTTCTATACTCTTTGACTGAACTGTGCGCGCGAGTAGGTCTGACGTATACAACAGTTTTAGGATATAGGCTGTGTTTCCATGCTCAGCCAACTCGTGAACATGCAAATTAATTAGAAAGCAAACCTGCTGATAA